AATATATTCTCGCTTGGGAGCAATAAACTTTACGGTACTATATATACAAGTTGTCAACCCTTGGGTTGGGTTCACAATATATTGCAATGTTTTTTACACATAGTAAATCTACTGACAAACGTTTAAACAAAAGTTCTAAATTTACGATTATGACTGCTTTGATTATCGTACAATGAAACTAGTGACGACCTAAAACTCTTTAAAGGGAGTGTTCGCGAAAAATGAAAGGGGGTATAAGCTTAATGCGATAAAAAAGCGCTTTTGATCGCTTATAATCTTACTTCTATCTGTTGCGTCTATAAGGAGAAAATTGTTCAAAACGACTTATACCGAAGAACGCATTGTCCATACAAATTCAGAAAGATACAACATTCAACTCGGATCGTAAACAAATCAATTTAATTCCAAACAAATCATTCAGATATTACAAACACTAGTCATCGATTATTTTTCGATGCATTCGTAAATAGTTGATATTTCATGATATTTTGTATTTTTCATGGTCTGAGAGTTACTTTTGAAAAATTTATTCCGGTTTCGAGGATTTTTGATAATGAAGACGACATTTTCATATTTTCCAGGAATGTTCGAGAATCCAACGCCAGCGAAAATTATTTTTTAAAAAAATCAAAAATATTATTATTATTATTTCATTTTTCGCGAACACTCCCTTTAAATATAACTACCCTAAGCTTGAAAATAACAAATGATCTACTAAATGATTTGGAAAAGAAAGAAAGCAGTTTTAAATTGCAGGAAACCTAGATTGTGAGAAAAATGTCTACATAAATTCCGTACAGTCGTCTCTGAAATCTCATCCTTTTTGGGTAACCCTGTAATTATCTCTAAATTCAAGCTTTATCTATTGTTTTATTTGCACATTTGTTTGTATTTTACTCTCTGTAGTCTGTATGTTGAAAAAAATGTGTGTGTTCCTTCCATCTGTTTACCAAGATAAGTATACCGGGTTACCCACGGCCACAAAGGATGAGGCTTCAGAGACGATTGTACGGAATTTATGCTGTCTTGTTTCTTATTTCTTATATCTCTTCTGTAAACTTATGTCTTCCCAAATCATTACAGTCTCATTCTTTGTGGGTAACCCTATATTTTCACAAAATAATCTAAAATTTTTAAGCCATGGATAATTTTTCTGTGAACTTTATATTCACTTGTCTACATCATATTGTAGTGTTTCCGCTTTAATACCTTTGCTTTTAATTTCATTACGTAGAAATTGCATTTATGTAGAAAAAAAGATATCTTAAATTCTTTATTTATAAATATTCTGAACAAGAATATTTATTATTTTATTTTATTTATTTTAAATCTAAAAATAATGATTTTTTAAAGATGCGAATCCAACAAATTCATAAACATTTATTGTGCTAAAATAATATTTAGGAAATATAAAACTTATTTTTACAATTTAAACGAAATTATTTTTTAAAGGATAAGTAAAATATCACATTTTTAACATCTGAACAATTCTCAATAAAGGTTGGTAAAATTTTAAAACGCTTGACCTCAAAATAATCAAATTATTAATTATATTAAATTGAATTATATTTTTGAGTATAAATATGTTTTATTAATCCAATCAAAATCGATAAATATTTTTAATATGAAATATATTTTCGAGGTATTGATAACAAATTATCATAGACCTCCCTTTTTTAAAGATAAACTTAACCTAACTGTTTTCCATCTTTTCTTTCAAAGTGAAGAGTATACGAGCTAGTTATGCTTTTTTGGCGTAAAAATGTATTAAAATATTTGGCGGTTGGTTTGACTCTATATTTTATCCCATTGTTTCCAGTAAAACCCTTATAAAAGAAATGTGTTGAGTTTTCAGTAATCCTATTAACAGATGAAAGGTCTAATAAGCGAAATTACTTGTATTTTTTTATTACTTTTACCAAACTTTTATACAGTGAAACCCTTAATAACGAATACATCGAAAGAATTCAACAAATGTCGTATTCTTCTAATAATGGAATGTTGCAGATATTTAGTTTTTTAATTAAATGATTATATGGAACTCTTTAAAACTGTTCCCTCATATTCATGGCTATTTATTTATTTTCGCAAATTCTGATATTTACGTAATATAGTATAAAACTCATTGAAAAATTGTCAAGACGACATTTGATAAATTCTTCCGATGTATTCGTTATTAAGGGTTTTACTGTACAAGGTTGTGGATATGTAAGATTGAATTATCATGTTTTTATAATCATATCTCCTCGTATTGAAGAACTATTGAGAAGAACAAAAATGTTTTTAATTTCTTGTATGTAGCTCTTCTCATTATTGTGGCATAAAATCAAAACTGAAGGAGGTTTAACCCTATCCCTGCTGGGGTACTTGAAAACCAGGATATGCTGGGGGGGGGTCAATTTGACCCCCCCCCCTTCTAAATCCCATGTTTTATGTCCAAATATGACAAATGATACATCATTAGAAAGCTCTTGTGCTCTACTTTTAGAATCTGTAAAAATATTTGCAAATTTGCAAAAACTGAATTTTTTATCGCAAAATCCCGCTATATAGTAAAAATGTTTGCAAAAAAAAATTGTCCAAAAAATGAAATATTATACATTTTTGAAAAGCCCTTGACCATGCCATTTCAAATATGCAAAAAAATTTGCAAAATTTTAAATAACCTGATTTTTAATCAAGAAAAACTGAAAATGTGTAAATTTCCTTTGACAGGTTGTTCAAAAAAAATTTGCAATTTTTTTTCGCAAAACTTGTGCAATCCGTTACCTTATGTCATAGGCTTTCCAAAAAGCTAAATTTTATCAAAATCTGACAAGTGAAAGTGGGTCAAAACAAAGATTTAGTTTGTTACAAGCAAAAGCAGTCATTCAGGCAGTGTGCCTGAGGACTCAGGCAGTTAGTATTAAAGTCTGGTTTTAGGCCTGAAGGGAGGGCTTTGGGTATGTAAGAAAAGTCAGAAAATTTCAACAGCCTCAGACCAATACTTTTTGAGTTATGTAAAAAAAACTACAGGGGGGGGTCAAATTGACCCCCCCCCCCCCAGCAGGAATAGGGTTAAGGTCACAAAGTCGTGCAAGTATTGTCGCACAAAGACCTTTCTTTGTGTCTAGTTCAAACTCAAAGTGACGAACCGCGAAATATAAACTGAGCTGAAAACTTTAGAATGATGGATATCAAGATTAATGCTTAAACTCCTGGTTTTACTAAACCCAAGATTATTATAAAACGCATTCGATATCTAAGAAACAAGTTAAAAATTTAACCAATCAGCGTGTCATGTAAGATGTACTCTTTAACTTTTGAAAAACCTGTTTTGATTTCTGGTGTTGATGGTGTCATATCAATTGAACTAAATATCGACTGAACGAACGTAAGTTTTGGATTAATGTTCATTAAGAGTGACTAACGTTCAAAATGACAATAGTCCTAAAATATGTTTTTTAATAACTTCATATTAACATGATTAAATTGATATTTGTTTCAATGCTTTAAAAGCCGGCTTGTGAACATCTAACTTTAATTTAATCGGATATTAGTCCAATCGATAAAGCATTGTATCTGTAATTGTTATCGAACGTAACTTTTATACAGTAGAAATATCCAAAAAGAGGATTAAAAGAAGAAAATCAAAAGTGTGTACATTTGATAATCAGATTCAGCTCTGGTAGCATAAAAATATAACATTAAATTAAATAAGGACTATTTACATTTTTGGAAGGTATTACATTCCACTCAATGCTATGATAAACTCTATCCTACACCAATTCCACTGCCCAATACCTATAGATACTTTTTCTAGCCCATCCCCCCCCCCGTCCCCACCTTTGAGTTTGAAACTAGTTTCAAGTTATCAATGAATGAATCGTATTGAAGAACAATAAGCCTAGTTTCAAAGTTCCAACTCTGATGAAAAATGTGATTTAAAAATCCCGGTTTCCATTTCCATGTCGAACTTCTTTCCTATTTTAATGTTCTAAAGTTTAAATTCTTAATTCTAATTTTCATTCCTGCCGTTCAAACATAATTTTAAAACTTGTTCCGAGCCGGGAACTTGGATACCTGTAATCCTGATAGTTTGATTATCTCGATATCCACAGTGGGAACTTTTGTGTTGGATCCCGTAATCCTGATAGTTTGATTATCTCGATGTCCACAGTGGAAACTTTTGAATCTTACGGAGAATCTATTGCCGCATTTTTTCTGTTCTCTGTCTTTTGATTGGCTGTTTATGGGATATCTGATTGGCAATTCACGGGATATCGAATAAAGATTAACTTAATCTGTAGATTAACAAAAGATCGCGATCAAGAATTAATATCGATATCAACAATGCAACGAAAATATTTTGCTATTCAAGACAATGTAATACTTTTGAATCTGTGAGTTTAGGAAAAGCTATGTACTTTTGATGCACAGTGTGTCTCTGCTAAACATAAGACTTAATACGTCAAAAAAATAAATGTCGTCTTCTTGAAACATTTTGCGGCATTCATTAAATTTAAGTTAAATTAAATTTTACTAAAATTATTCTGGAAACAACTCACTTATGAAATATCCATATTCCAAAGGAAAGTACAGACTGAGTTGACCACCAATCAGAAATCTCGTAAGCCAAGCCAGTTTTTTACAATCAAATTATCGAAAATCAAAGACAATCTTAAAGTCGTCTTTAAAGTATTACATTTAATGGGACAAACTGTTTAAAACATATTCATACTGAATATTAAATATTGAATTAATAATAAATTTTACAACCGTTTAGAACAAGTAGTGAACATGTTTACGATTACATTTAGTGTCTGAAACTTTAAGGATGAGCTGAGCAAAATTAAACTCCTGGTAAAATCCCATAATTTCGAGTGAACAGTAACGTTGTCAATCGAACGTGCTGTAAAGCCCATTGAAAATACGTCTGCATAATATTACTGGTTAAAATAAAAGGGATTTTTAAATAAAGAAGTTTAGTTTCCAAACGTGGAGTGAATATCGATTTTAAAAAACAACTGGGTTACGTTTAAAATCTAGTGTTTTCAAGGGTTTGTGTTATAAAGTACTCTGCAACTGAAGTGTTGAAAATAGCCGGAAATTTTAGTTTTTATCAGAAATGGCCAAATGATTTACAAAACATCTGAACAAGTTTTTTACAGAGCTTCCTTTAAGGATTTTGGATTCAGAAAAATAAACATTATGGATTCTTCAGGCCATCTTTTCATTTACATCAACACGTCCGGCCACTTTTATTAGATTTGATTCCATTACGTTTAATATCACTGTTATATACAGTATATACGTATATTAGTGATAATTAATGTTATTTGAAACGATTGCAGCTTTTCTTCAATTAGACAAGTCACATAGTCTTTTATGATTAAAAGAAAGATCGAAGACGGCATTCTTTCCGCCTAAGTATTGTTATAATTAACATCTAGACAAGTAGTAAGAGAAGTTTGATTCAAGTAGGATTTATTCTCCTTCTAGGATTAGGAGTAGGGTTGGGATTAGTTCTAATCCTTCTCCGTCGTACGATCTGCACAACTCAGCATCTTCTCTCTGAACTTGAACCTTCTCCGGATTCCTCTAAAACATAAATCCTTGTGTTAATCTAATCTCTACGGTCACTCCTAGCCCTAGGGTTGATATTAATGCAACATATATTGAATATAAACCTTTCAGATTATATTCAAGTTTACGACCATGGAAGGTGGGAGGGAACAAACTGACCTGTTATATAGAAAAATAAAAATAACACTGAAACAGCGCTGAAAGGAGAACAGATACAAGAATTACAATGGAAAATTTAAAATGGAGTGGGGAGGAAAAAAGTAGAGTAGGCGAAATAAGGAATAATTTATTTCAGGACGGAATGGAGAAGAGAATAGATAAGAGAGGAATGAAGAAATAAATAGATGAGGGAAGAATAGTGAGATCCAAAATAACAGAATGAAGAAGAGATTAGATTGGAGAACAGAATAGATAAGAAAAAGGTAAAGAAGAGTGTTCCGTGACCAAATTGTCTCGATATAAAAGTGAACCGCCCCTAAACCATTCTCCTCTGATTGCTGAGTTGCCCCTGGTTTTGGATATATACTGTTTGTTGTGCAGACAGAAGGCACTGGCATTAAACCAGTTTCAGTTTTGTAAATGAGCAAAGGCCTGGGTACGGTACATTTCCTGTAGTGTGAGCATTTGACGGAAAAACATACATTTATATAAAGTTCCGTATTTTTATTGTGAACGTAGCATAAATGCGTTGAAAATTAGTGTTCTATGTTTCAGAAAAAATTACCCATTGGATTTTTGCTTAGTCACATTGAGGTATGTTTGGCATATGTTTTACATATATTATACAGGGTGGACCTAATCGCAACGTGATTATTTCTTTTAGTCTTATTATACAGAATGGCGGGGTTTACCTTGGATGGACATAGTTCATTTTAAATGTATTGTATTTTCTGAAGTAATGGATTCATTCTTTTATAGATTTAATTACTGACAGCATATCTTTTGCACCCTCTTCAGAAGATATACAATGTTTGGACGAGATAGGGATTCCAGTCTGGTCAGCAGAATCCAAACAAGGTAGCCATATTGGTAAATCCTTATTGAAAAGTAGAATGGAATAAAGAAAAGAATATATTAAAACGGAATAGAGAAGAGAATAGATATGAACAGAAAAAGATGAGAATATATTAGAACAGAAAAGAAGATAATAGGTTCGAGCGGAATAGAGAAGAGAAAAGATTTGGATGGAAAGTAGAATAGAATAGATAAGAATGGAATGGAGAATAGATTAAAAAGGAATGGAGAATAGAATAGATTAGAACAGAATAGAGAGAAGAGAATAGATTAAAACCTAATAGAGAAGAGAATATATTAGAAACAAATGAGGAATTGAATAGATTAGCACGGAATAGAGAAGAGAATATATTAGGATGGAATAAAGAATAGAATAGATTAGAACCTAATAGAGAAGAGAAGAGATCAGAACTGAATGGAGAAAATAATAGATTAAAACTGAATGGAGAACATAATATGTTAGAACGGAATGAAGAAGATAATAGATTAGAATGGAATGGAGATTATAATATATTAGAACGGAATGAAGTAGATAATAGATTAGAACGGAATGGAGAACATAATATATTAGAACGGAATGAAGAATATAATGGATTAGAACAGAATGGAGAAGGGAATATATTTGAACGGAATGAAGAAGAAAATAGATTAGAACGGAATGGAGAACATAATATATTAGAACGGAATGAAGAAGATAATATATTAAAACAGAATGGAGAAGAGAATATATTAGAACAGAATTGAGAAGAGAATAGATTAGAACAGAATGGAGAAGAGAATAGATTAGAACAGAATGGAGAAGAGAATAGATTAGAACGGAATGAAGAAGAGAATAGATTACAACGGAATGGAGAAGAGAATAGATTTGAACAGAATGGAGAAGAGAATAAATTAAAACAGAATGGAGAAGAGAATAGATTAGAACAGAATGGAGAAGAGAATAGATTAGAACAGAATGGAGAAGGGAATATATTAGAACGGAATGGAGAAGAGAACAGATTAAAACAGAATGGAGAATAGAATAGATTAGAACGGAATGGAGAAGAGAATAGATTAGAACGAAATAGAGAAGAGAAAAGATTAGAAGTTAATGGAGAAGTGTGGAATAGAAATGAGGAGGATGTAACTTGATCAGTTTTCTGTGAAAAACTACTTCCATATATTTAATATATTTTCAGGTTTGAGATAAGGACTGTTAAAACAAATATTAAAAATCAAGATCTAATTTCCCCCCCCCCCTTGAACTAAATATTTTGTCTCATATCTATTCATATGAAGAAGTAATATCTGTTTGTTTCTTTGTGTAAACCAATTAATTGATTTGCCTCAAATTTTGATTGGAAAACTCAGTAGAAATAAGGGAATGGTCCCAGGGGCGTACTCATGTATTGGTCAAGGGGGGAATTAACATTTTTATCTTGTAAAGGGAGGCACAGCACACATAGCCCCCGCCCTCAGGAAACCATAGAATACACTGATCCTGATTACTATCATAGATTGAGTTGGTCGACGGTTCCCTTTATGTCAGACTTATTTGACGATCTTTTGAAAATGAAGATCCGAAGTTTTAATTTTAAGTTGTGCCTTTTAATTAGTATTCAATAGGTGAGCAAACTAATTTGAAAAAGAAAAACATTTTAACTGCAGGGAACCGTGAAAGTAACAAAAAGGTTTTTAATGCTATTCCGTAATCCGTATTCCTTAATCCGTATTCCGTAACCCGTATTCCGTAATCCGTATTCCGTATTTCGTATTCCGTATACACTCGTTGCTGAAGTTTCATTCTTTGCAAGGAACCCCTGTATGTCTATACATTAGTTAAAAAACAGAAAATAACAGTTTATTTATAATGACTGGTTGTGTGTCTAGACCACAAAATAATTTTAATTAAATATATTTTAATTTACTTGAAAATTGGTTTATTGATTTCGATAAAATGTAATTTAAGGATTTGAAACAAAAACGAAAGTTTTGCGATACAATAAATTGCAACGGTGAAATTTTCAGTTTTATTAAACCAAGATAGAGACTAACCTTTGAGAAATGTTAAAAGGCAACATGGTAACATTTTTAATTTTCATATATATTAAAAACATCTAGATGTATTAAAAACATCTAGATGTATTAAAAACATCTAGATGTATTAAAAAGTTTCTTGCAAAATTACGAAATAGACATAACTCAAATCAACCCCTTAATTTCAGAATAAAATTAGCTGAAATTTAAATTTTTAACAGATTTTTATCACAGTTTTTAAAAATCATAACTATTTAATCCTTTCATATAATTTAGACTTCTTTTCTGTTTAATTTAAGAATCGAATTGCCCTCCTCCCCTCCAAGTCCATCTCATCCTGTCAACCCCCCCCCCCCTCTTCACTGCTGTTCAATAAACCAATCCTAACAACAATGTTTGTCCGGAAAAGAAGAATAAAGAGTTCAAGATTAGTCGATTCTCTGACATTTTGAGCTGCAAGCTCTAGTCCTGATTTCCTGGTCTTGCATGATCAGATGAAAATAATAATACGCAAACTTAAACCAGTTCATGTCAGTTTTCATTGTTTTAGAGGGGTGAAAATAATAATATTCAAATTTGAACCAGTTCATGTCAGTTTTCATTGTTTTAGAGAGGTGAAAATAATAATATTGGAGTTGGAGTAAATTTTAATTCGAACTGGACTACCCGGTCTTGTAGCCCACTGGCTTAGTCCACCGAAGCCATTCCTTTTACTCTGGTTTTTCAAGATTTAGGGGTTTTTCGTTTACAAAAACCCTGAGGCAGAGGCCAAAAGGACTGCTATTGTTCATTAATCTATGATAGTAACAATTTACTTCCGAAACATTTTTTAGAATAAGCTCCTTATTTTTTCACATTCTTATAAATGTATTCTGAACTTCGAGCACGGAAGCAAAAGCATTGAATCCACAAGTGTTAGACGAGTTTGTATCCTTTCAAAAGGATTGATAAGGTTCAAATTAATCCCTCTTTGTTTGTCAGTTTATGTTTTAATTCAATTGAATAGCTTTTGATTATTTCAATGATTAGATCGGGATGTATGCAATTTAAAAAGGGGTTCTTAAACAATGTACTCGTATTTTAAAACAAATATAGATTTCAATTATTATTATCATTATTATTATTATTATTATTACTATTATTAATTAATTATAATTATTATCTCTATTACCTATAGGATGAAAAGAGTGGTAAGCCAGGTAAGGTAGATAAACATTAATCTTGAACCCCCAGAATCTATTATAGCTTCCTGGCCTGAATATTTTAAATATTGTTATTTATATATAAAGATAAATAAAAATACAACATCCTGAGCTGAAAACTTTAGAATGGGATATCCTTTATGTCTTCTAAAGTTTTCAGCTCAGGGCACTTCGTGCCCATTTATTTTATTTACCAATCTTACTTAAACAGTAACCATTTATTTGTGGCCGCATTACAATTTTTAATTTTGCGGATTTGTCTGATTTAAATTGAAGGATTTTCCAAAAAAAAATTTTACTTAGAATGACGATCAGAGCTGAAAAGTAAATAAATTAGAAGCTAATTCATAATCTTTAGAATGACTTAACTGGCCTAGAAGGCTGTTTATAATTTTTTCTATTTTGTTATCTTAACATATATCGGATATATGCAAAAAATGCTAAGGATTTAATTTGAAGCTTTGCAGGCAAAAACTGTTATCATATTAAAAATTTGATTGATTACAAATGTAGTTAACTCTACAGAGAGATCTTCGAAATAATGATATAATTACCCGTTGATGGGAAAAGTTAAAAATTCTGTTGGTGAAAGTTTCTTTCAACCAGCTACCTTCACCAAAAATGAAGTCTGTGCAAGAGCAAATTAATACAAAAAAAAACATTTCATTTTTACCTTTTTTGATCCCTAGTGCACCAAAAATGTTTTTTTTTGTAAATTGTAACTTCGAAATTGTTTTTACCTATCTTAATGACATGAACATTGACGGACTGAGGGTAAGATACGGACGGATCGCATTCGTATTTTCCACTATCCGACTGGGTAGCGTGGGTGATGATTAAACTAGATGTCGTCGTCTTTCCTCTCTCAGAGATCATCACCGTGCCGCCCTTCTCCCGATCATAAGTGATTATCTAGAAAAATACACGGTGTCCCAATAAACATGAAATTTAAATCGTCTTTGTTAAGAATAAGTGTTACATTTACTAATTGCAATGGTCCTAATAAAGTTACGCCTGCCAGCGAAGCGCGAAAAGAAATGTTACTTCTTCTATTTACCCTTTGTTTACCCTGCTAAAATTACAGTTTCTTTTATCTTTAAGTAATAATCCATTTATTTATCTTATAAAGATATAAAAAAAATATTATGGATTAAACTTTATACATTACCATTATACATATCCTATCAAGTTATTCTAATGAAGGGAGAATTATTTTTTATTTCATGCTATTATTATTGATCTTTTAGTTAATGTATGGAACCAAAACATAAACAACAAATTTTAAACTCTAGCAGACGAAAAATCTCTCAGTAGGTGTCACCATACTTAATCAAAAAATCATTTACAAAGACGATGTTAAAATCGTTACTCAATTCCCATATGTATATTGGGACACCCTATATCAGAAATTGACATAACTTTTCAAATTAAAGAAGCTGAAAAGACAACCGAGAGACTGTAAGCGTAATTTCAACTCACCCTCCAGCTAAAATGGCAATGCCCGATTTACAACGGTACTCTTGAAACCGTTATCTGATCAATAATGCGGAAGATATTACCGTTTTCCTAGGTTTAAAAGTGTTTTCCTGTAGCTTAAAAATGCGTAAGTCACTTTTGTAGAGAAACCAAAATTAAATTTAACTAGCTTTCAAAATTAAACATTGATAAATAATTCATATTTGTTCAAGTAATCTCATTGGGGTACCGTTGTGATTCAGGCCTTGTCATCTTTGCATATTGGTGTTCACGTGAAATTAAGCTTCCCGTCCCTTTTATGATGAGAAAGTTATCCCCGAGCTTAATTGGTTTTAGTATCAGGAGTTAAGACTAATTTTGTAATTTAATCATTTAACAAACTTGGTAATTTTAAGAACAGAAACTTTTTGATTTAGCAGAATTCGTAGTTAGAACAAAGAATGTAATGTAAGGAAAGTTAATTGCAGTTGCGTATACTCTGCGCACATATTGAAACCAGTTTTCTCTGGGCGGAATTTGGTTAACAAGAATAGATGCCTCAGTGTTCGTCTAGTATCCGAGGAGGTTAAAAGCATTAAATTTGATAATCTTGATAATTCACATAATAGTTTCCTATGACCAGAATATTTCATTGATTATTTATATGAAAGATGGATCCCATTTCAGGCTTCGACATCCGTCTTGTGTTTACATTACAGCCCAGTGACAGTACACTGTAGTACAAAACATGTGTACAATTCTGAAATAACTTTCCTTGCATAAAATCCTTGGTTAGAACTATAAAACGTTTTTGGCCTGCATCATGTTGCTGTTTTTTAATAAGGCTCGACTCTGAAGAAAGTTAGTCCCTACATGTGACAAGGCCCAAGTCTAATTTTAGTCCTGATAGCAGCTTAGTCTTGAAGCTAATTTTCTCTAACCATCTAAATCTTAGCAGCTCAGAAACAAAAGCATTCAAATTGAATGAACATTTACCATAAATTGAAAAGTTTGACAGTTTTCATGTAAAATATTCAGAGCATAAATAATTCTTACTCAACACGCCAATCCAATACTTTCATATTTAATTCCAGCTAAATTGTATTTTTGATGCAGCTTTGAGACTTTTTTGTATTAAATACTTAAGACATATTTATGCTCCATGAAAGGTTATGGAAAGTATAAAATGATAAAGAAGAATGAATGGCAGACTTAAATACTATTGTACTTTCATGTCACCCTTAAGGACAAACCTTTCAGTGAAAATCAGGTTACAAAGTAGAATGATGATTTTACTTCTGCATTAACAAAACACAAACTTTAGAAATAAAGAAACGAACCGCGGCAAACCTATTACATTTAGCATTGAAGGACTAAAGGGTACTGCAGTGAATCGGACATGCCACTTAATTATTGGTCACTCGAAGTCTTGTCCTTTCAGGGTAAAACTTTAAGAAGAATAACAGTTGTAAGTTTAGTTTTTTTAAATATGAATTTTATCTGTTTTGCGAGCAGTCCCTTTAAAATTAACCCACCTTGCCGTTGTAGGTCCAGAAAACGAAGGATGGATTATGGTTGCTGGGTCCTGCCTCAATAACACAGGTTATATTGATAGTTGACCCCTCCTCTATATACCGGTCCTAAACGAATAGAAACATTAATGTTTTTTAAATGTCGTCTTTACTTCATTTTGTTTCCATTGCACACACTTCTCAATTCCATGTGCTTAACTTAAGGAGGAGAATTTTACCAATAGAAAACGATATCTTTGTCAATAATTTTCATTTGAGAAAACTTGTTTTCGAAAGTTACTAAAACTCACATAGCTTTTATTATCGCCAATTTATCCAAAACGAATCCTGCAAAATTGAACAGAACCATAAAGGAAATTTTTCTTGGGTGGAGGGGGGGGGGGCACTATTCAACTTATCTTGGAAAAATGCATCTTAAAGAACGTGAGCAAACTTTAGAAATGACTTAAAAATAATAAATGCATTTATACCAATAACATTTGTTACTCATAACAATATTTACTCTTGAAAAAAATATATAACTCAAAAAATATATAACTCAAAAATCATTCAAACTTAATTATAATTTTTGAGTAAAACTAAAGTTGGAAATAAATATCTATCAAAGTCGCAAAAAGGTCGAAAGGACCAAGGTACTAATGCAAGGAAAGTTAATTGCGGTCGCGTATACTCTGAGTACATATTGAAGCCAGTTCTACCTGGGCGGAATTTGTAAATAAGAATAGATGCCTCAGTATCCGAGGAGGATAAAAGCATTTAATTTTGATAAATTTGAAAATTCACATAATAGTTTCCTATGACCAGACTTTTTCATAGATTATTTTTGTGAAAATTCATTCCATGTCAGGCTGTGACATCCGTCTTGTGTTTACTTTTTTGCCCAAAGACAGTACACTGCAGTACAAAAAATGCGTACACCTCTGAAATAACTTTCCTTGCATTAGTACCTTGGAAAGGACCAAGTACTAGTAAAAAGATGTTTTTGCTTACTTGAATTTAAAACTTACAGTGCGAACCTAAAAACGCTGAAATCCACTTAGTCTAATATTTATTTAATTGTAAAATGTCACTAAGGATTTTTAAATTTTCAACTAAACTATTTCAGAAGAAGTGCCGCAAACATTTTTGAGAGATATCAGATGCAAATTACAAAATGCTTAAGAAAAGGAAAAAGAAAATTGAAGTTGATTCATGTTTTTTGGTTCTCACTGTAGCTTAAACAAAACCTTGTTTCCGATATTCTTATAATAAAAAGGACGTTTTTGCCAAATATAAACATATTTTTAGCTTGACAATTGTATTAATTGGCATATCATAGCTAGCTCAATTTTCATGTTAAAAAACAACTTATGAAATTTGAACTTTGAAGCTTTGACAAAAACCTACATAAAGATATTCTACAATCTACATGTGTTCATGTTGGTTGAGTTCTGATCCAAAAGTTGAATGGAACATGTGTGCACTATGCAGGCTGAACTTCTAATTCATAAGTTTTAATTGCTCGCATTAGTTCACCTAATTAAATTGAATTGCTGCCGAGTATTTCAAACTTTAATCATTGCAAAGTGCTAAAGTGCACCATTCAATTTGTGGAGACAATTTCGGATACGAACCAGCAATCATCTGATTTACTGATGGTCACGTGACGCCATAATACGTATTTTTGATTTTCACAGAAACAGAAAACAGATATAATGTCGTCTTCTTTCGTCATTTCATTTTAAAATTGTAAAAAGGATTTTGGGAATTGAGTCTTTGCCACAAACTCTGATTTTCTAATCCCTATATCTTTGCACCACAATGTCGATGACCTTAGATATTTCAAAACTAGGAGTTCTGTTAGATCAAATAATCTAAGGTTTACATCATCAGGTTGGAAAGATATAGAGATTATAATATTTTGTAAATCTATGCGACAAATTTCAGTGAAATTAGAATTACAAAATCCATCGTAAAAAATTAATATGAAAAGAAATAACAAATATGACAACCATTCCACAGTTTTCTGGTTTCTACTATGCATGAAATAAATATCCTTCGAACATTTTACAATGGTTTGTAGAGTTTAATTTTTATTTAGAGTTATACCTTTGATCCAATAATTGAAGTTGTGGGTTGAATTACATTCAGATATATTCTATGCTCTATGTGGGGTGTGATCGAAACCTAAAAATCAGGAAATTTATAAAAGAAGATTCCACAATCATTTCTTGGTTCAGTTTCAGCTGTTGACAGCTGTACCATCCTTTTTTATTTATATCTCAAGCTGTCATCTGGCAGATGTAGCATTCTTTAAATTATGCAAATTTACAACTGTTGCCTAACAGCTTCTAAAGTTCTATAACTGTTGCCTGGAGCTATGTCATCCTTTATCTCTAAATCACCAGTTGTTACCTGACAGCTGTACCATCCTTTCTCTCTAAATCAACAGATGTTACCTGCCAGCTGTATCATCCTTTATCTGGAGATATACAGCTGTTACCTGACAGCTGTACCATCCTTTATCTTTAGATTTACAGCAGTTACCAGACAGCTGTACCATCCTTTCTCTCTAAATCAACAGATGTTACCTGCCAGCTGTACCATCCTTTATCTGTAGATATACAGCTGTTATCTGACAGCTGTACCATCCTTTATCTCTAAATCACCAGATGTTACCTGACAGCTGTATCATCCTTTATCTTTAGATCTACAGCTGTTTCCGGACAGCAGTACAATTTTCATCTTTAGATCTACAGCTGTTACCTGACAGCTGTACCATCCTTTATCTCTAGATCTACAGCTGTTACCTGACAGCTGTACCGTTCTTTATCTTTAGATCTAAAGCAGTTACCTGACAGCTGTTTCATCCTTTGTCTCTAGATCTACAGCTGTTACATGACAGATGTACAATCCTTTATAAAAATATCTTCAGCTGTTACCTGACAGCTGTACCATCCTTTATCTGTAGATCTACAGCTGTTACCTGACAGCTGTAACATCCTTTAACCTTAGATCTACAGCTGTTACCTGAGAGCTGTACCATCCTTTTTTATCTAGATATACAGCTATTACCTGACAGCTGTACCATTCTTTATCTGGAGATATACAGCTGTTACCTGACAGCTGTACCATCCTTTATCTGTAGATCTACAGCTGTTACCTGACAGCTGTACCATCCTTTATCTCTAAGCTCTACAGGTTGTATGGAGAGTCCCCAGTCGTCTGTTCCAGGTTGATGATGAACCTAGAATACATTTTATTATTTCATTTTCTTTTCACGTCTTTTTCTAGGAACTGGAACTTGAAAAAGATTTTTTAAAACGTCAAATTTACTCAATCAAGTGATGTTTCACAGAACCAATCAATGAAGTAAACACATGTTACTTCAATTTCAGATCTATGTTTTCTTTTCGACAGAAGCAACAAATAAATAAATAAATAAAAAAGTTTTAAATCCCATTTTCTTGGACTAATTGGAACAATAAGTTTCCTTTTCTAAAAATCATATGTTATACCTTTATTCTATCACTATAAACTTGTTGACTGCACTAGTATACCTTTATTCTATCACTAGTTGTATATATAAACTTGTTGACTGCACTAGTATACCTTTATTCTATCACTATAAACTTGTTAACTGCACTAGTATACCTTTATTCTATCACTATAAACTTGTTGACTGCACTAGTATACCTTTATTCTATCACTAGTTGTATATATAAACTTGTTGACTGCACTAGTATACCTTTATTCTATCACTAGTTGTATATATAAACTTGTTGACCACTAGTATACCTTTATTCTATCACTAGTTGTATATATAAACTTGTTGACTGCACTAGTATACCTTTATTCTATCACTAGTTGTATATATAAACTTGTTGACTGCACTAGTATACCTTTATTCTATCACTATAAACTTGTTGACTGCACTAGTATACCTTTATTCTATCACTAGTTGTATATATAAACTTGTTGACTGCACTAGTACACCTTTATTCTATCACTAGTTGTGTATATAAACTTGTTGACCACTAGTATACCTTTATTCTATCACTAGTTGTATATATAAACTTGTTGACTGCACTAGTATACCTTTATTCTATCACTAGTTGTATATATAAACTTGTTGACGGCTAGGAGACTAGTATCACTATGCCGGATCCAGGAAATCTAAATACAAAACAATTATCACAGTAATTCAAAGTGAGGATGCTCTCCTAAATGAGTAAGCTTTTGTAGTTTATTTTTTTTTATAAAGCTTAAAACAGGAGAAGAAAGTTCCAAACCGTACTTATGTTCCAAACCTGACACTGAGTGTAAGGGAATGAGGTGAAATCTCAGTTTTGCAGAATATAAAAAAAATGAGATTTATTTAAGATCAATATTGTTCCATCATAAAACTTTTTTATAAATATTTTAAAATGGTTTTCGTTTCGTGGAACACTTAGTATCAAACGTACTTTTTCATTTTTAAACAATAACTTAATTTAACCTTTGTGTTGTTTTCTTGTTTATTGAGACACCCAGGGTGTATACTATATGCATAATATTTACCCAGGATTATGTATTGGTTGGGAACCTTCTTAAATCTTCATTTTCTACGATACATCTTTGTCTCATAAATCCTGTNCCCCCCCTTGGATAATATCAATCCATCGTTATTAGTATTGACAACCTACTATGCATATATCTTGTGTAAAATGTAGTTTTTTCAAATTATCAACATAAAGATTTATATAACACCATCACTTCGATAGAAACCGCAAAAAAAGTTCAGGAAGAAGAAAGGTTCATTGAAAGTCACAGAAATTTTTAAGTACTTTTTGGTTTTATTTCGAAGTTTTTTCGATTTTTATCTGTGAATTTAGCATTACAATATGCACACTGTACAGTGTTGTACTGGAATATATATATATACAAGGTTACCCACAAAGAATGGGACTGTGAAGACGACCCAAAACTCTTATAATATGACGATTTGAAGCTTGATTTTTGGTGTCCGCATTTAATTGAGTATTTTTATGGTTTACTAAATGATTAAACACAGATACCAGCCGGTTCTGGCAGCTACAAGGAACCCTGAATGCAAGAAAACGGATTATACAAATTCCATACAATCATTTCTGAAGTCTCATCCTTTGTGAGTAACCCTGTATTTAAAATCCACTTTACAGTGTACATATATAATTACATATATAAGTACATTTATATAATTACGATATACCCTTCTTCCTACAAACCTCCCTATCTCTTTCCTACCTGCTCCACAACTTGATGTTAAAAGAACTATTTGGAAAGGCCTTAAAGTGTGAAAACAAGAAACAAGAAGCAAGAAGAAAAAATAAATTGAACAGAAAAAAAGTAGAAGGGAAATCTCTTGACAGTAGAGATGGGTGCTTAAAATAGTTCTTGCCTCTGCAATTTGGCTAGCTGCAGAAAACATCCAAAAAATTCATTTATCTTTTATTTTCAAAATTAGCCAAAGTATGATTCCCCATCTGATATCATATTGAAATTTTAAAAAATTGTAAAATTGAATTAAAATAAATTATTAAAGTTAAAAATACAATTACAATTGATTTTCTAAACTCTTTTCCGAATCTTTTGTTCAATTACAAAAGCAACTGAAAATATCAGAAATTAGAAATTTGATTCTTTTTTCAATGTTAAACTTAAACTTTTTTTAAAAAATCTCCCGATATCGTATATTTCCTTAGAACTAAAATCAGAATTGAAAATAATAATCTCACATGTCCTAATTCACAACATAAAAATTGTAGATTTCCCATGGAATTTCAAAATAAGACAAGAAACAATCTCCCGCTTCGAAACGGTTTTTCTAAGATACATATCATCATTTCGTTGTTTTACTTTATTAAAAGATAATTTGAAATATAGAATTTTTATAATGATTCTATGATAGCCATTTTGAGAGAAACGATAATTTTTCTAGAGAAATTTTTAAATTCTAAAAGGAATTGAGTCTTTGCCACAAATTCAGTTTTTGTAAAACCAATATCTTTGCAGCCTTATGATGTAAACCTTTGATATTTCAAACTTACATTATTTGATCTAATATCATTCATAGTTTGAAATATTAAAGGTCTAAGACACCGGGCTGCAACGATATTGAAATTAGAAAATCAGAGTTTGTTGCAAAAACTCAATTCCTTTAAAATGATTTTTTAAAGAAAACGAAAAAAATAAAAAAAATGTAAATTTTAAATCCCTCAACGTGCTAAATATAAAAAGTAAAATCTCTGAATGTGTTAAATATAAGATGTAAAATCCCTGAACGTGGTAAATGTAAAATGTAAAATCCCTGAACCTGTTAAATATAAAATGTAAAATCCCTGAACGTGTTAAATATGAAATGTAAAATCTCTGAATGTGTTAAATATAAAATGTAAAATCCCTGAACGGGCTAAATATAAAATGTAAAATTCCTGAACGTGGTAAATGTAAAATGTAAAATCCCTGAACCTGTTAAATATAAAATGTAAAATCCCTGAACGTGGTAAATGTAAAATGTTAAATCCCTGAACGTGTTAAATATAAAATGAAAAAATTCCTGAACGTTCTAATGTAATTTGTTAAATCCCTGAACGTGTTAAATATGAAATATTAAATCCCTGAACGTGTTAAATATGATATGTTAAATTCCTGAACTTGTTAAATATAAAATATTAAATCCCTGAACGTGTTAAATATGTTAAATCCCTGAACGTGTTAAATATAAAATATTAAATCCCTGAACGTGTTATAAAATATTAAATCCCTGAACGTGTTAAATATTAAATGTTAAATCCCTGAACGTGTTAAATATAAAATATTAAATCCCTGAACGTGTTAAATACAAAATATTAAATCCCTGAACGTGTTAAATATAAAATGTTAAATCCCTGAACGTGTTGAATATAAAATGTTAAATATGTTTTCTTAAATCAAAATTATTCATAAAAAGAGTGTTTGTAAACAAACCGTTGTTTACTTTGATCCACTAATGTGCACAATGTACAAATAAACAAGATAGAATAGAATTCAAGCATAATCTAAAAAGATCATAATTCTAAATTTATAATAGAAAGTAATTAAGTTTTTGGATAATCGTGTGCAATCGCTAGCCGGCCAAAGCGCCATTTTTTAACTACCCAGGTTAAGGCAAATGCATAGAATCTGCAGAATTACAAAAGTAATAATTTTTTTATGTTTATAATAATATTATTCAAATGAAGTTGCGTCTTCGCGGCAAACTGAAAATTTTCTAATTCCAATTCCTATTATATCTTTGCAATCAAGTGAATAAAACTTTTTAGATTTGATCTCACAGCATTCATAATTTAAAATATCTATGGTCTGCAAAGAAATGGGGATCAGAGTTTGTGGCAAAGACTCAATTCCTTTTTTAGTCCACTTACCCTTGAGCGTATATTTCTTTTTCTTTCGGCGCTTATTGATGCAAAAAAATATAACCGTATCGTTTACATTCCATTATAAAATTAGAAAATTAGTAGATATGCCAGTTGTTTATAGTTCAGAGAAAATATCTAAACTGATAAGGGGCCGACATTTTTACTCAAAATTTTTTTATTTGATATAATTTTTCGAATCATGTGCTAAGTTGGACGATAAATTTAAAAGTTTTACAAGTTTAGAAATTTTGCTGATTTTAAATTGTTTCAAGATTATTGAAGGTGAATTTTCTCAAAAAGTTTTAATTCATATTCAAGATTTTCTGAATAATAAGGATTATGTAACTATGTTGCAGGAAGTGCATTCGCCAACAACTTAATATTTACTTTGAAACAAAAATTGTTATAAGAATATTTAAACAAAATTCACAATACTTGAATCCTTTCTAAAACCCGGTTTGTAAAAAATTTCATCTTCTAAAGAATTAAGTTTCTGTCACACGTTCAAATTTTCTAATCCATGTTTCTTTGCAACTTGACGTGTAAACCTTTGATATTTCAAACTTAGACTATTTGATCTGACAAAACTCATGTTTTGAAATATCAAAGGTCTACAACAATGGGTGCAACGATAGATGGATAAAAAAATCAGAGTTCGTGACAAGAAATTATTTTTTAATGTGACAATATAACTAGGACTTAAATAAGAACCAAGATCAGGATTTAACATTGATCTATAATAAGATCAGGATTTAGTTTATCGACCTTTATTTGGATTAAAGGGATTGTAGTCATAATTTTATGTTACTCTGTAAATAGAGAGAATAACTTGAAATTACGACTAAAATCACTTCAATGATTAGGACTCACTAGACAAACAATTTAACAAAAATCAGAATGAGGAGATTTACTGCAAAATTAGAGCTTTCATTAAGATTAAAAGACGCAATTTCAAGTCGCTCTCAAGTGTTTTGAGTAGCATGTCCGATATTATTGAGTAGCATGTCCGATATTATTGAGTAGCATGTCCGATATTATTGAGTAGTATGTCCGATATTATTGAGTAGCATGTCCGATAAAAAGCTTTGCATGATCAGGAATGAACATGATATCCTTTTTCTTTTTCCAAATTGAAAATTGACCTTTTCAAAAATTGGTTTCTCGTATAATCTAAAAATAGATTTAAAAAAGAACAATGAAAAATAGTGAAAACAAACATGACATTATGCTGTTTTTATCAATCTTGGGAGAAGCTGAAAAGCCTATCTATCTATCTTAAGCTAAATAAAAAATTTTAAAGTTAAAAAATTCAGAGCTTTTTGAAATTACTACATTCCCTATAAGACCAGTGCTGTAAAAAATTTCACAGAACAAGGACAAGGACAAGGACGAGGACAAGGACAAGGACGAGGATATCAGCGTCCTGTGTCCCCTCATTCAAGTTTCAATATGTGTTTGTGAGTGTACGTGTTGGTGCAATTTTAAAGAAGTTTATACATTTGGAAAATTTGGAATAAAATTTGAAAAGATTTTCTGAATAGTTGAACACAGTTGGGCATTTAGTTCACGGGCTTTTAGGATAAACTGCATCATTCCCTGGTTTTCAGTATTCTAAATACAGTAGATATATATATATTTTTAACCTTTTCCTGGAACCCCCTTATTCATTATTTTATCCTTTTGATAAATATCATCAATTTAGCTTTTTTACATAGATTTTATTCTTTCATGACAAAATCAAGTAGTTTTTACAATTTTCTTCTTTTTGACCTGCAAATTCCCTTTTTTTTAACTATTAGGGAAGAGTAATTGATCCCCCCCCCCCCATGAAGTACTTGTATAGAATAACTTGAAACTACGGAGTCTAAGCTGGTCTGAAGATCAGAATTTACAATAATACGTGAATGGCATAAATGCAAGAATGCATGAAGAACATGTTTTGAAGCATGCAAAATTGCCCAAAAATTAGACAATTGTGAGCGTGAACAAAGAAATATGAAATGAAAAATTTGAAAATATTCTAATTGTAAAATATTTCTTTACATGTAGTAAAATACAGTTAAACCCTGAATAAGCCATACATCGAAAGAATTCATCAAATGTTGAATTCTTAACTTTCTGATAATGGAATGTTGCAGATATTTAGTTTTTTAATTAAGTGATTACATGGAACTCTTTTAAACTGTTCAAAAATATTCATGGCTATTTATTTATTTAGGCAAATACTGAGATTTACGTAAAATAGTATAAAACCCATTGAAAAATTGTGAAGACGACATTTGACAAAAGTAATAATTTAAATTTAATCCTCTCAATATGAGAAAATGATGAAAGAAAAAAGTGTTGATGGGAGTGTTCGAGAAAAATGAAAGGGGGTATAGGCTTACGTCGAAAAATTTTCGATGATGATTGCTACTAATCTTATTTCTATCTGTTGCGGCAATAAGGAGAAAATTGTTAAAAACAACTCATACCGAGGAACGTATCGTCCATACAAACTCAGAAAGTTGCAATATTTGACTCGAATAGTAAAAAATAAATTAAATTCCAAACAAATTATTCAGATATTACAATCTATCATTATCGGTTTTTTAGACGCATTCGTATATAGTTAACACTTCATAATATATTTTATTTGTTTTATATATACAATGCCAAAAGGACGATTTTTTGTCCGCTAGGTGTCTCTGCCACGTGGAACCAAGCAGAAACATCTAGAGCAGAGAGACCTGGTGGCCAACTAATCGTTGTTTAAATTGCATCATATATAAAACAAATAAAGAATATTATGAATATCAACTATATATATACAAATGCGTCGAAAAACAATCGATGATTAAGGATTGTAATATCTGGATCATTTGTTTGGAGTTAAATTGATTTTTTACAATCAGAGTCGAATATTGCAACTTTCTGAATTTGTACGGACAATACGTTCTTCGGTATGAGTCGTTTTTAACAATTTTATCCGTATAGACGCAATAAATAGAAGTAAGATAAGTAACGATTACCATCGAACATTTTTCGACGTAAGCCTAAACCCCTTTCATTTTTCGCGAACACTCCCCTTAAGGTTTTATTTCATCTTCGTTCTGTAATAATTTTCCGGAGTTTTAAAAAACAGTGTTATTAAAGTAGTTTGTTAATGGAATAATGCAAAATCAAAAAAAATCATTTGAAATTCATATATGTTATTGAAATGTAAAATTTTACCTTTCACTGAATAACTTTTTATCAAATATTTACCGATTCATTTCCAATATTTCTGACAACACAGACCAGAACTGCTTGCTTGCCGGTCAGCGCGGTCACGTTGTAAGAGGATGCCCGGGCATCAAATACTAGCCGGCCATCCTCATAAGGGGGCATTGTGCCCTCTGGCTGGAGACCTTTAGGCACCAACCCATCATTCCAGGAACCACCTGAATAAGACAGATTTTAATCTAAATTGTGATTAAAACATTTTTGAAAATCTAAAAGTATCTAAAAAGGTTCGTTTGAAACGACCAAATATACGTCGAAACAGCCAAACGGATCAGGCCCAAACTTTTGTGGTAGCTCACAAGACCCCTAGAAAGATTTTCTGTTGTTTGAAATTGAAAAGTTTCTCTGAAATAAATGTCAATTTGAAATTTGTTGGGAAAATCCGTCAATGTATTAAATAGAAAAATCCTCGAAATTTTTAGTTTTTATTTGTGTGAAATAAATGGCGACTTGAAAATCAACATTTAAAAATATTGACACTTTGCCCTTAAAGCCTAGTAGTTATCATACTTCTTCGCACCTCTCTTTCTACGGATTTAAACTTATTGTTTTTGATCTATTGTAGTAAGTTGTCCTTCTTCGCACAATTTACAAGAATGTCAAAAAACGGTTTGCAGTTTTTTTCTGTTTTTATTGCTGGATATCCAAAATATAAAAAAATCGTAATTCTTTGGTTGTAACTTTTATAAATTTTGACCTGCCATAGACCTACCTTTTAAGCAATTTTGAAGATTTTTATTCATAAAAAAATCAGACAATTATTTTCCTTCTATCAATACAATTTTGTTTTAATTTAACAATATAGTTTAGTTACATAATTTGAGTAATGGGTGTTTTCATCATATTTTTTGTGTGTTCATATAATTGGGTTCTTTCATATAAATTTTATATGAAAAGAACCCAATTATAAACATTTTAATGACTTACATGCACTGTCTGACATAACAAATACAACGGCAATAAAATCCAAAACAAACCCGGTATTCTAAACCATTAAAGAACCTGGAAACTTTTCCTAATCGTATTTTCTACTCTTTCAACTTTTAATTGTGGCTCTATTTAGGTGCATATCTTCTATAAAACAATAACAAAAAAAGTTCACGGATTTGATAATATTTTTTTCGTGGATTTAAAAAAACTTTTGAAGACAAACTTTCAGAATTCTGAGCATCCGTAAACCTTCCCTGGGGTCCCGTGAGTTGCCTTGAAAATTTTGAGCTTGATTGGTTCAGCCGTTTTTACAATTATATTGGATACAAACAAACAGACAGTCGGAGCAAGCAAAGCATATATAGAAGGTTTTGCAATTATTTCTGTATTTATATTTTTAATATCAGAAATCTACAATCTGATAGTTTTATGTTTTTTTAAATTATATTTGGAATTACGTCTACAGGCCTTTTTAGTTTAAAGAGGGAAATTCAATAAACAGGAATTGAGTCTTTGCCACAAACTCTAATTTTCTTGGCAAACCAATTTTGTAGATCTTAGTTATTTAGAACTATGATTTCTGTTATGTCAGTGTATCTAAGTTGAAATATCAAAGCTTTAAATCATTAGGTTCCAAAGATATAGGTATTAGAAGATAAGAGTTTGTGGCAAAGTTTTATTCCTTGGTAAAGATACTTAAAGTACTTATAATTTTAAAATCAAATTGTCAATCACTTATGTACAAGCATGTCATTCAAGGGACTGTAAGCGTCATTAAAATTGAACCTCAAAGCAAAGATGGCAATCTGATCTAGTATTATTTTTAGTATTAGTATATTTACTATATCAATGTTTATAATTTTCAAAACTGATTATTTTCGATTGCGATTTCTTTACAAAAGTAACTTGTGTGCATTTCTTCTGCTGGAAAATGGAAAAATATTATCGAAATTAAACACTTTTAACCCTAGAAAAACGACAACATCTTTCACATTCTTAATCAGATAAAGGTTTCAAGTGTACATGTCACAAATAATTACGTTTACTGTCCCTTTAAGAATTACTTACTTTATAACATAAAACATGATTAAAATAGATTTCTACCTGAAAATGAAGTAAACAGAATAATGAGTGAGATAAAGAGGAACATGAAGTAGGTCTCAAAGATTTTCTTTTTTATTCAACTTTTAAAATGGTAAGTTTTTATCAGTTTTCAAAAAGAAGCCATTCTATCTGAAATAGTCTAAATCCATAATATATAAATTCTAAAGCAAGTAATTAGCATGACATAGTTCTTTTTTAATAGCAGTGGAGATTGAAAAATATAATTTAAGATTTAAACGGATGATTTATATCAAAAGACAAAAACTTAATAATCCCCCCTAAGTAGTAAAATAAAATTCTGCACCAACAAAGCAAAAAAAAATATAAACAATACATAACATTTCAGTTTTGAGAAGTAGCCAGTAAATTGAATTTAAACTTCACAACAACATTTTATCCGTAATGCGCTATTTGAAAGCTGATCTGTGTACCACAGCGAATAAAAGAAATTGAGTGAAATGGAGGTTGAACCTTCTATGTGAGATAATCTTTATCTCGATAATCTTTATCTCTTTTAAATTTGAGAAATTAGTGCTTACCTTAAACTAAGCTTTCGGTGCATACTACTCCATACTACAGTGATCTGCAGTTCTCTGACCTAATGAGTGGGTTTTGGTGTAGAGTGTGCTTTATGCCTTACGCTTCAAGCCTCAATAAGTGTTAAATATCAAGCTGCAATTCTCATATAAAAGTTGTTGGACCACTGTGTTTGTTTACATTTATACCAGACTGTACACAGAACTGCTACCTGAGCCCAAAACTTAAGTCAGGGTATCGTTATAAAAACCAGTTTTTAAAACCGAGTTTCACGAATGGGGTTATGTGTTTTGTAGATATCAATATTTTTGTTATGAAATATTATATTATTTAGTTTCTTCATACTCTCCTTTTTTCGAATCTCTTAAATTAAAATTTACTTAAATGTTAAGACCCCGAAATGGAAACTCGGGAGTTTCATTCAACGATACTCTTTTAAATTTCGGGCTCTGAGCCCGAAATTTAAAAGAATATCGATGAACGAAACTCCCGAGTTTCCTTTTTGGGGTCTTATCATTTGTGTAGATTTTGATTTAAGAGATTCGAAAAAAGGAGAATTTAAACAAACTGAAAAAAATGATATTTCATTACAAAAATATTGATATTTACAAAACTGCCTAACCCCATTCGTGAAACCTGCGTTTTAAAACTGGTTTTAATAACAATACCCTGTCTATAGTGTTGGGCTCTGTGGAGATAATCTTAAAGGCCAGAGTCCGAATTTAATGAATTTAAGCCACGTCTTAAATCCCCCAAAAACCGGTTTTAATTGACCGCCGGCTTACATCTTGAAAAATTTAATACAAATTTAAGTGGAACCAACCATATTTGAGACGCGGCTTAAATTTAAACCGCGGCTCAAATTCTTTAAATTCGGCCTCTGGTTTGTAAAAAATCATAGAAATCGGTTGTTTTCTGATATAAGAAATCACTCAGCTCAGAAGATGAGCAAACATTATTTTTAATTCATCTTATTTTACTTATCCATATTCTGTTTTTTAACGACAAAATTTAACAATCTTTGACCATCAGATTGTTAGACTCAAAGTAAACTTATTAGATTAAACTTGACAATGCAGGAAAGCCAAAGTTACAATTTAAATGATGCCCACAAAATTGAGATCAAAGTTTTTAAAATCTGCAATTATATCTTTTGATTTTGAAACAAGAAAGTCCGATTCTTAATAATCCTAAGATTGCCTTTGAAAAACCTTTTTAATTTTGTTTCTTAGCACAAAAATATTATTTGTTCTGATTATGTTTTTAATTTTATTTCTTAGCACAAAAATATTATTTGTTCTGTTTATGTTTTTAATTTTGTTTTTTTAGCACAAAAATACTATTTATTCTGTTTATGTTTTTAATTTTGTTTTTTAGCACAAAAATACTATTTATTCTGTTTATGTTTTTAATTTTGTTTTTTAGCACAAAAATACTATTTATTCTGTTTATGTTTTTGTCCCTTTACTTATTGTTCATGTGGAACATCATGTTTTCAACAAGTTTAGAATTTGAATATGGTTTTGATAGGATGCTGTAATTGTAATATAAATAATAAGTGGTTGCTCAGAGGTCAAAACTTTTCAGAATTGTGAACTTTTGAATCCCAGGATTAAGCAATTATTCGTATCTAAGGATTAGATTAGTTCTTCCGGGATATATTGTGGTTGTCGCAACCGATGGGAATAACGAAAATTGAGCAATCAAGCAATTATTCCTCAATGGAATGTAGCCTTTGTCTTTGTCACAAACTCAAATTTTCCAATCCCTATATCTTCGGAACCCGAATGTGAAAACCTATGATAATTCAAACTTGAATTATTTCATCGAACAGAATTCATAGTTTTAAATATCTTAAATCTACGACATCGGATTGCAAAGATTTAGGATTAAAAATCATAGTTTGTGGCAAAGACTCCTTCCCTTTAAAAGTTGTTACATCAAATTTTAGATCAAGCGGATGAGACAAGCACTATTTCAGGTGTGATTCAAACATATTTCAGTTTTAGATCAAGCGGATGAGACAAGCACTATTTCAGGTGGGATTCAAACATCTTTCAATTTTTCCAATGACTTTTAAATATTTTGGACATTGTATAAATCAAAGGTGGAAGTTTCATGAAAAATAAAAAAGTTTTTAAAAAAGTTTTTGTCTTTTGTGAAATACTAAATTATCTGGATAGTTTCGAACTATAAAACTATAAATAAAAGAACTTCTTAAAGTTCTCCTCAATTTATTACAGGTTGGGGGTGGGGTGGGGGGTATTTTGGAGTACGAAGGGTTCTCTATTTGTTATAGAATTGGGGGGATGTTAAATTTAGGCGGAGGAGGGTTCTCAATTTATTACAGGATGGGGAGAGGGGGTTAATTTTGAAGAAAAGAGGTCCTCGATTAGTATAAGGATGGGGGATGTTGGTCCTTAATTCAGTAAAAAATGGAGGGAAGGGGATCAGACGAGGAGAAGATTTATCTTTTAAAATAATTTTATTTCGCTTTCAGATATAATAAATAATGTATTTTGATTAAAACATTATGTTTAAATTTTACTTTTTTAATCATGAATATATGTGCCTTGTAGGGAGCAGGTCAGATTTAACAATTATGTGCTGTCCCAGAGCAAGCTTATGCTTCCGAATTTTGCCAAAAAAAAAAAACATTTTTCGATTTTTCTCTTTTATAAATTTTTGTGGGAGTTTTGAATAAAAAAGCAGAAAAAGACAACTATGTAATTAAATTTTTTTAAAGTTTAGACCAACACGCGAATAAACATTTTTTTTAAAAACCTCAACATCAGTGTTTTACTATAGGATAAGGAGTTCGAGGGGGGGGGGGTGGCATTATTATGTTTTATAGAACTGAAAGTTTATACATTTGAAAAAAAATATTTTTACGTGTTACAAAAATCTGCCTGAAATCCCCATCCCTGGCTAGATTGGAGTGATAAAAAAAACTAGCCTGCGTTGCATCAAGTTTTCTATATGAATCTCTTCAAAATGTTCAATCCTGATCCTCTATCCATAAATCATGAATATTCTCTTTAATTATGATAATTCTGTAAGTTTCCAAGGTTGTCTGTATTGGGAAGTATTGCTGTAAGTTTGTTGAATTATTGGACAGACCAAACCTAGCTAGCATAGGATTGCAGAAGATTGAAATCTTATATTATTCTAACAGATCAAAATATTTCAAAGGTTCAAGCTCCTACATAAAGTCAATTTACTCAGAAATCTTTCACAATTTATCTTATACAGTGATAACCAATATATACGGGAATAATGTTCCTGCTTGAGTTTAATTAGAAATTCCAAGAAGGATTTGTACATATTTGTTTCTGATAAACTAATTTGTTTACAAAATAAAATATATTATTTTTTAAAAATGTGGTAATTTCAAGGGACCCACTATTCGTAGCGTAGTGTGTCCGATTCACAACAGTACCTGTGTAACTTTTGACTGCTCAAAAACGGCTTTTTATCCTTATTTGTCTACAGAAGCGCTTGTAATTTAGGAAGTATTTATTTGTACTTTGTACAAGTCGCAGAAAATTAATATTTTTTTTATTTTTGCATTGGGCATTGAATATTTGGAATTTTCGAGGAATATATAAATAAAGCTGTGTGAGTTTATAGTTTGCGCTAACGTACAATTTAAATATAATTTTAAAGATAAATAAACGGATTTCTCTTTCCTCGATGATTAGTCAATTTTGCATTCGCCTCTATTTTGTAAATTGTATATTGTTCATGTTTAAAGGTTTTAAATCATCATATTCTATTTTCAGGTTTTAAATGGTCAACGTTAAAGCTGTTCGAAAAATAGTGCTGCTACATTTTCTTTTGTAATATTTCGATGCTATAGAAAAAAAAAGAAAAAAAATTGTAAAAAACTTTTTTTTTGATTTACCCTCTTCTCAGACACGTTTTTTCCATTCTCCACTCTATCCATCCTATCCATCCAATCCATCCTATCCATCCTATCCATCCTATCCATCCTATCCATCCTATCCATCCAATCCATCCTATCCATCCTAGTCTCTTATAGCTCTCTAGTAGAGAACGGGGTTTGAGGACTAGAGTGGAGAAGAGGGTAGATAGTCTCTACCCTCTTCTCCACTCTAGTCTCTAGCTCTCTACCTCTTCTCCATCTAGTCCTCAAACCCCGTTCCCTACTCCCCAATCTAACCCCCCTCCCCTTCTCCTTCTTGGTGTCCATTCATACCCCAAACTATTCCAAGGGTTCTTCCCTGTTTTGGACCAAGAAACCTGGGCTCTTGGTTCACATTATATCTAGCAGTTGAAGGATTTAGATTAGAGTGCAACAAAGAATCCGTAATTCCCGGTGTAGACCGTCAGCTGCAAGGATTGGGTAAACTTTTAAGTTTTTTACTTGATTACAGGTTACCCATGAGACGACTGTACGGAATGTATAATGTCTGTTTTCTTATATTAATGATTCCTTGTGACTGTAAACTTGTTTCTGTCTTTGCCAAATCAAGGAATAATTCATAAAAAGACTGTACTTAAATTAAGTTAAACGCAACCCTGTAGGATGCAGAACAAAGAATCTGAACACTGGCCACAATTTCGAAGTTTTCAA